CTTATAGTAGTTAGTGGTGGAAGATTTGATGCTTTTCCTCCAGTATCAGAAACAAGACAAGCATGTTCAAGCTTACCAGCTCTATTCAACATTGTACTGAAGGTTCTAGCCAGGGCAACAAGGCAAGAGAACAACTGGCTTGTCAGACATTAAAATGCATCAGTGTGAGCTGCAATGAACATTTAATGTAAGTTGTTGGCTCTTTGAGAAGACAATCATTTTAGAGCCAAAATTCTACTCCAAAACACAAATATCCCAAACTAATCCCAACCCAGCTTTAATTTTAGCTGATTTTGCATGCCCTCATCAATACTTTATCCATTCAGCAAATATAGATCGACACTATAACTTAATACCTTTTACCCAAGCTGTTCCCTTCCTTCTATTGTATTTCTATTCAACAGAAGCTGTTACCTACTTTTTTTTCATAACGCCACAATTGAATAAATGAATTAAAATGTTATGATCTTGGCTTACCATTTTGCATATTCTTGAATTCACAGAAAACCTCTCTAAATTTACACAGCTTCACTTTCTCTAAAAGTAAAAGTAAGCACTCTTTTCATTACTCAAGTGCTCCTTTTTTCCTTAAGCACCAGTGTCTCAGAATCTGCACTCAGCCAAAAGTGTATAAGAGAAATACCATCTATTGAGTTCCATAATAGTTAATGTGCTTCATTAACTTTATAATGAAATGAGAAACTTATGCTTAGGGTTGAGCCTGTCATTTAAAAATATTTGTTGAATGGATACTATATGTAGAATCTATACTAAACCCCCTAAAGAATCAAATACTATAAAAATAGTAATAATAAAAATAAACAGATACCAATCTGGGATGTATCACAGAGCTGTGATGTGATTTGAGCCAAGTCACATAATCCCTCTTTCAATTCCCTTTTCTGAGAAAAGGGATTGTCTGTCTCAGAGATGATAAAGAAATTTCATCTCAAGTGTCAAATCCAGTTGATTGGTAATGATGCCTTGAGTTGTGGAAAGAAATATGAGGCTCAGCTCAGGTCCCATAAAAGGGTGCTATGATCAATTTGTGTTGTCTGGAAACAGTCATAAGTGAGCATTTTGAAAACGGCAGGTTGGCTACTTGCCGTCTCTAAACTATTCATAGTCTTTATTCATTTTTAATAAAATATTATCTGACTCATGCATAACATAATATCATCTTATATTAATGGTAAAATTATTAGTAGCTGCTTTCCTTGATTTTAACTTGCCGTTAATTATTGGTTTTACAGGGTACAACAATTTCTGTAAATGACTCAGAACATCTTGAATATTCTTTTACAATATATTCAGTATTTAACTAAAGATATCAATTGCATTTAATTATCCAAGTGAACCAAAAAATAACAACGTTTATAAAAAGTGATAAAATAATCCTCTTTGATGAGAATGCTCATTGTCTGAATTCAAAATATCATTTTATGTCTCATCTTAAAACATCAAATTTCTCCATTTTTTTCCTGTGGTTTAATTACAGACCAAATTTCCTATCATTTTTGATGCCTTGTTTAATGTGATTTTATATATATATATATATATATACGGAGAGAGAGAGGGAAAGAGAGATCCCACAAATACACATATTTAAAAGCTTTAATTTGAATGTCATGCAAATGATTTTTCATTAATCAGCATGCAAAACTATGAGCAAAATAGATGAAATTCTGTAGTTTTGACCCAGATACAAGATGGCCAAATAGGAACAGCTCTGGAGTGCAGTTCCCAGTGAGAACGCATAGGGTGAGTGAACGCCACATTTCCAAAGGAAATTTTACTGCCTACAGATCGGGAGATTCCCAGGTGGAAAAGCACCACCAGTCTCCAGCATAGCTGTTTCAGCTGGCGCAGCAGGTCTCTGTACTAAAACTCACAAAAATCTGGGTGCCGTTTCAACAGGTGCCTGGAACACCTGGGAGACAGAGTCACACACTCAACTGAAAAAAAGGGGACTGAAACAGGGAGCCAGGTGATCTGGCTCCGTGGGTCCCACCCACACAAAGACCAGCAATCTGAAACACTGGATTGAGAGTTTCACAGCAAGCACAGCTGGACCCAGAATGGTCTGCCACAGCTGGACCCAGAATGGTCTGCCACAACCGAGGCAGACCGCCACAACCGAGGCAGACCGCCACAACCGAGGCAGACCGCCACTACCGAGGCAGACCGCCACTACCGAGGCAGACCGCCACTACCGAGGCAGACCGCCACTACCGAGGCAGACCGCCACTACCGAGGCAGTTCTAACTATACCTCTATAAACAAAACAGCAAGGAAGTTCACACAGCAGCTGGGCAGAGCTCACAGCAGCTCAGCAATGCCTCTGCTGGCAGACTGTGACTAGGCTACACTCTCGCTGGGCAGGGCATCTCTGAAAAAAGGCAGCAGAATGACAAGAACTTATAAATAAAGCTTCACCTTCCCAGGACAGATCACCTGGGGAAAAAAAAAAGCCTGTTATGAGTTCCATTGCAGCAGATTTAAATGCACCTTCCCAGCAGCTCTGAATGGAACAATGGAGCTCACAGCTCAGCGCTTGAGCTCCTATAAAGGACAGACTGTCTCCTCAAGCATCTCCTTGACCCCCATATATCCAAAGAGACACCTCACAAAGGAAAGCTCAGGCTGACATCTGGTGGGTATACTTCTGGAACAAAGATAATAGAAGAAGAAACTGGCAGGGACCCTTACTGTTCTGCAGATGCTGCAGGTGATCACCAGGCAAGCAGGGTCCAGAGTGGACCTCCAGCAGTCCTATAGTAGAGGGGCCAGACTGTTAGAAGGAAAACTAAAAAACAGAAATAAATAACTTTATTATCAACAAAAAGGGATGTCCACTCAGAGACCCCATATAAAAGTCACCAACTAAAAAGACCACAGGGAGTTAAATCCACAAAGATGGGAAGAAACCAGTGTAAAAAGGATGAAAACACCCAAAACCAGAATGCCTCTCTTCCTCCAAGGGATCACAACTCCTCACCAGCAAGAGAACAATGCTGGATGGAGAATGAGTGTGATGAATTGACAGAAACAGGCTTCAGAAGGTGGGTAATAAGAAACTGCTGAGTTAAAAGAACATGATCTAACCCAATTCAAAGAAACTAAGAACTTTGAAAAAAGGTTTGAAGAAATGCTAACGAAAATAAACAGCTTAGGGAGGAATATAAATGAATTGATGGAGCTGAAAAAACACAACACGAGAACTTCGTGAAGCATACGCAAGTTTCAAAGCCAAATTGACCAAGAAGAAGAAAGGATATCAGAGACTGAAGATCAACTCAATGAAATAAAATCAGAAGGCAAGATAGACAAAATAGAGTAAAAAGAAATGAACAAAGCCTCCAAGAAATATGGGATTATGAGAAAAGACCTAATCTATGTTTGATAGGTGTACCTGAATGTGAGGGAGAGAATGAATCCTAGCTGGAAAACACTTTTCAGGATATGATCCAGGAAAACTTACCCAACTTAGCAAGGCAGGCCAATATTCAAGTACAGGAAATACAGAGACCACCACAAAGATATTCCTCAAGAAGAGCAACCCCAAGGCACATTCACCAGGGTTGAAATGAAGGAAAAAATGCTAAGGACAGCAAGAGAGAAAGGTCGGGTTAGCCACAAAGGGAAGCCCATCAGACTCACAGCACATCTCTCAGCAGAAACCCTACAAGCCAGAAGAGAGTAAGGACCAATATTCAACATCCTTAAAGAAAAGAACTTTCAGCCTAGAATTTCATATCCAGACAAACTAAGTTTCATAAGTGAAGGAGAAATAAAATCCTTCACAAAGAAGCAATTGCTCAGAGATTTCATCACCACCAGGCCTGCTTTACAAGAGCTCCTGAAAGCACTAAGCATAGAAAGGAACAACCACTACCAGCCACTCCAAAAACATGCCAAGTGGTAAAGAACATCGACACAATGAAGAAACTGCATCTACTAATGGGCAAAACAACCAGGTAGAATCCAAATGGCAGGATCAAATTCACACGTAACAATATTAACCCTAAATGTAAATGGACTAAATGCCCCAATCAAAAGACACAGACTGGCAAATTGGATAAAAAGTCAAAACCCATCAGGGTACTATATCCAGGAAATCCATCTCACATGCAAGGATACACATAGGCTCAAAATAAAGGGATAGAGGAAGATATACCAAGAAAATGGAGATCAAAAACAAACAGTAGTTGCAATCCTAGTCTCTGGTAAAATAGACTTTAAACCAACAAAGATCAAAAGAGACAATGAAGGGCATTACATAATGGTAAAAGGACCAATGAAACAAGAAGAGCTAACAATCCTAAAACAAATTTACAAGAAAAATCAAACCCATTCGAAAGTGGGCGAAGGATATAAATGCTCATCATCACTGGTCATTAGAGAAATGCAAATCAAAACCACATTGAGATACCATCTCACACCAGCTAGAATGGCAATCATTAAAAAATCTGAAGACAGATGCTGGAAAGGATGCGGAGAAATAGGAACACTTTTACACTGTTGGCGGGAGTGTAAATTAGTTCAACCATTGTGGAAGAGTGTGGCAATTCCTCAAGGACCTAGAAATAGAAATTCCATTTGACCCAGCAATTCCATTACTGGGTATATATCCAAAGGATTATAAATCATTCTATTATAAAGACACATGCACATGTATGTTCATTGCAGCACTGTTTACAATAGCAAAGACCTGGAACCAGCCCAAATGTCCATCAATGATATACTGGACAGGGAAAATGTGGCACATATACACCATGGAATACTATGCAGCCATAAAAAAATGATGATTTCATGTCCTTTGTAGGGACATGGACGAATCTGGAAACCATCATTCTCAGCAAACTGACACAAGAACAGAAAATCAAACACCGCATGTTCTCACTCACAGGCGGGTGTTGAACAATAAGAACACATGGATACAGGGAGGGAAGCATCACACACTGGAATCTGTTGGGGGGGACTAGGGGAGGGACAGCAGAGGTAGGGAGTTGGGGAGGGGTAATATGGGGAGAAATGCCAGATATAGGTGATGGGGATGGGGGCAGCAAACCACATTGCCATCTATGCACCTATGCAAAAATCCTGCATGTTCTTCACAGGTACCCCAGAACCTAAAGTGCAATAAAACATATATATATTTTTTTAAAGCAATTGTGTAGTTTCAGAAAGTGATTATTTTGTCACAATTTTAATTTGGAGACATTTATCAATGGTTGGCCAAATGTGATCCACCTAGAATTGTGAGCTATGTGATTTCTGATACACTGATCTCTTGAATAAAGCAGTATTCATGTTATTCAAATTCCATTTGTTCAATAAGACATCAGTAATTTATTCTGCCAAGTAAAACTATAATTGTTCTTTAAAAAATTACTTTATTCCATTCCAACAAAACATTATTAATGTTATGTTATTTCTCCTTTTCTCTCAATAGGGCCTTTTAGAAGCATTATTAGTATATTTTCTATTTTTTCATGGGAGAAGGTAACATGTCCTTTTTTTACATATTGACATGAGTTACTTTTTGCACAAAGAAATTTATTAAAATTTCTATTAAATACATTATAATATATATTTTAAATTATTTCTTATTTATTCTATATGAAAATTCAGTAAGCGTATCTATCTGGCAAAATGGAGAGATTCTAATATATCAAAGTTTCACTATTTTCAGTTTATATCACCCCAATGGTCCACTCCTTTTTATTTCCTTGGCTTTTCCACCAATGATTTAAAATAAATCATTTACATGCCATTCATTGCAACTTTGATTAAAATAACTATAAGCAGGTATCTCACTTTTTTTTTTTTTTACCAAAAACAAAAGTCACAACTCAGAAATCATCTTCTCACAACCCTACCAGTAGTCCTAAGAATCTAATCAGCCTTGTCAGATTTTTTGCCAAATTTGTGCAAATTACTTGATTAAAACTTAACAGTAGAGAATATTTAAGATTATCTGTAATGACTATAAACCTAAATGACAACAGAAACTTTCTATTGTCAAAGTATAAAAGAAAACAGCCTTTACTCAATTATCAGTTGCTCATGAAGTTTAAGATTCACTTGCAACACTTTCGTTCCCCAGTTGGTACTAATTTTACAACATCATAGGAGGCAAATATGGTGATTTCTCAGTGTGGTCATTTATCTTGTGTTTTTATAGCATTAGTTCCTGTTTCCAAGATGCCCAACATTTGTGCCAACAGACAGCTGGAAAATGCCTCAGTCAACAAAGGAAAAATGTCTACGACAAAGCGATAATGGATTAAGAAATCAGGGAATCACCAAGCCAGACAGAACTAACATTTTAAAATAACTATAAATTGTTTATAACAAAGCTCCACATTTGAAAAGCTAAAAGATCTATTTCATATAATAAATTAATACTGAATAAAATTTTAATTGTATTTAAGGTATTTTAGTTGTTACGTATCAAGTACATAGTCATTGATGATAGAACTTTAACCATTCATTCAATACGAAGTTGAAACAAGACACTCTGTGACTTCAAGAATTGCACAATGAATTGGGATAGGTAGATGGGTCAGGTTATTATCCCAATCCTTGCTTGGGTAGCATGGGTTATGTAAATCAGATTTGGAGCACCAGGATTCTTTTCAAGGGAGGTGATATTGAGCAGAGATTTGATGGTAGAATACACATTATTTAGGAAAACAGGTGGTGGGAAGTCATTCTGAGCAGAGGGAAGACTACGTAAAAAGCCATAGAGCACAAGAGAGCATGACCCTATCTCAGGGCTGCTAGAGGTTCAATATATCTAAAGATGAAGCAAGAGCCAGAACTAGGGGCTGGAAAATAGAGAAGCTTATATGCTAAACTTATTTCGACCTTTATTTTGAAAGTAGCAGAAAGTTATTGGACCACTTCAATAGTGGAGTGTTATATTTAGGCTTAAATTTTAGAATTATCTCTCTGGTAGCCACGTATAGGTGGGTTTGAATGATGGGAAAGGGAGGCATCAGACAAGAGACGAATTAGAAAGCTGTTGCAGCAATCTGGATGAGAAACACATGAGGGCCTAAAATAAGATGGTGTCTGGAGACTAGAGCTGGAGAGGGCAAAGCCTTCTATATCCGTCCACTTTTCTCCACACCCACCATTTCTGCAGAGGCCTAAGCTTTGCTCATCCCTTACTTAGGCTACATTTTCAAAAGTCAGAAAAAAATTTTCCTGAAGAAAGGGTTTCTGAGACAAGTAGGTAAAAGAAAGGTCAGTGTATGGGAGTGTGTGTGTGTGTGTGTGTGTGTGTGTGTGTGTGCGCGCGTGTGCGTGTGTGCGTGTGTGTGCGTGTGTGTACGTGCGTGCGCTCCCCTGAGTAAAATTACAAGCCATAGAGGAAGACAACATTATATATTCTCTGTAAGTGAGCAGGAAGCATGCTACTACACACAGTGCTAACATAATGAGTCCATCCTGTGCGTATTCATTCAAAGTAAGACTGAGACATAAACTTGACAAAACTTTCTCTCTTTGCAGGACCCCTATTTGTTACCAATTGTAAGATAATCTGAAAATCAAGTCCAATTGCTTTGTCAGGCTGGGTTGGGTGGATTTTAATTATATCTAAGTGACAGTAACTTTCCTCATTCCTATTTGACTTGGTATTTTCTGGTTTCAATTTTTCTAGTTGAAAGGAATAATATTCCTCAGGCAAAATTCACAAGGCAGATATCTAATAATTTGTTTGGGTACTGGTTGAAAGAAATTAACTAAATGATCCATCCCTCCCTCAGCACTCCCACATGTATGTACCTACACACATCCCTAGCCACTGGCCTTCTTCCAATTCTTTGAATCTCAGGCTCTGAAAGAGATGCAAAAATGGCTGGTACATTAAACCTGGCCTTTAAGCATGTACACACCAGGACATGAATGTTCACAATAAAACGCACAGTAAAGTGAGTGTCAATTCAAATCAGCAGAAGTGGAAGCATATATTCATTTGTAAGTAATAGAAATGATTTCATGGCTACATTGGTACTTGAGATCATTTTGAAGAATATCAATAATTAGAGACTGGTGGAGAATATTCCAGACACGGGGGAAAACATATGCAAAGGCAATGAGGAAAGACAGACTGACATATTCAGAAAAGTGTAGGGAAGAAGAGGATGAAAAGAAATTGATTAATGGGTACAAACAGGTGACTTGACAGAAGAGATAAGACCCAGAGCTAAAGAGATCAGTAGAGTAATTCTGGTTTACAGTCATCTATTGTATATTTCATAATAGCTAGAAGATAATTCAAATAGATCTAGCATAAAGAAAGGACAAACATTTAAGGTAATGGACATCCCAAGCACCCTGATTTGATCTCTACTAATTATATAAATGTATTCTCACATGGATTCCAAAACTGTGTACATCCATTATGCATCAAAAAAAAAAAAAAAAAGGTAAAAGAAGAAAACTGCAGGAAACCAACTAGTATTGCCTAGTATTTAAGCAAACTGGTGATGTGAACCATGCTTCCAAATTTAATTTTTATTCTAAAAATAGAAAAACAACTATCTAAACCTTCAGGCCACTATTTTATTTCCCCAGTGAAAATTGGAGGAAACTTCTCAGGGTTTACATGCGAAAATCACTTTTAAAAATACATTTGCATGTATTTCAGCAAACTAACACAAGAACAGAAAAATCAAACACTGCATGTTCTTACTCATAGGAGAGAGTTGAACTATGAGAAAGCAGGGACACAGGGAGAGGAACATCACACACTGGGGCCTGTCAGGGGAGAGGAATGGGGGAAGGATAGCATTTGGAGAAATACCTAACATAGATGACAGGTTGATGGGAGCAGCAAACCACCATGGCCCGTGTTTACCTATGTAGCAAACCTGCACATTCTGCACATGTATCCCAGAAATTAAAACATCAATTTTTAAAAAGAAAATAAAGCCCTATATTAACATATTAGAAGTATCCTAAAGATAGAATGTCCATATTAATGGTAACAATTTAAATGACCAACTTAAATCACATGTAGTTTATAATTCAGAACTCAAACAAAATATATTATACAGTCATATCTCACTGAATTGTATGTCCCTTTATTGCACTTCTCAGATATTCTGTTTTTTTACACATCAAGGTTTGCAGCAACTGCACTGAGAAAGCCTATCGGGGCCATTTTCCCAACAGTATGTGTTCACTTCATGGCTCTGTGTCACATTTTGGTAATCCTCACAATATTCACATTATTTCAGACTTTGTAATTATTATTATATCTGCTATGGTGATCTTTGATGTTATTACTGTAATTCTTTTGAGACACCACAAATCGTATCCATATGATGGCAAACTTGATAAAGGTTATATGCATTCTGAACACTCCACCAACTAATTGTTTCCAATCTCTCTCCCTCTCCTCCAGCCTCCTTATTCCCTGAGACATAACAATATTGAAATTAAACCATTAATGACCGTCCCATGGCATCGAAGTGTTCAAGTGAAAGGAACGGTCGCATCTCTCTCAAATGAAAAGCTAGAAAAAAAATTAGGCCTAGTGAAGACGGCATATCTAAAGCAGCGACAGGCCAAAAGCTAGGCTTCTTTGCCAAACAGTAACCCAAGCTGTGAATGAAAAGGAAACATTCTTAAAACCGCTACTCAAGTGAGCACACAAATGAAAAGAAAGCAAAACAGCTTTATCGCTGATAGGGAGAAAGTGTGAGTGGTCTGAACAGAGGACGAAACCAGCCACAACTTTCCCTTGGGCCAAAGCCTAGTACAGAGCAAGGCCCTCACTCTCTTCAACTCTATGGAGGCTGAGAGAGGTGAGGAAGCAGCTGAAGAAAAGTCAGAAGCTAGCAGAGGTTGGTTCATGAGGTTTGAGGAAAGAAGCTGTCTCCATAGCACAAAAGTACTAATAGACATGAACAGGGCCGGAGAGAGCCCTCCACTCACCAGCCACGTCAGGCAGCTCCATCTTCTGAAAAGGCAATCGTGAGGGGATGCGCAGGTGGTGGTTAAATAGTCTCTCTAAGATAATAATTGCTC